AGAAGGCAGAAGTGTTCACTTACATCAAGGAAAGGGAGAACCTACTTTCCATGTCTACCAGTTAGGTTAGGTATTAAGAAATTTCTTGCTTACCAGACCAGTTAAGTAAGGACTGTTACCATTCAAAGACACTCTGAAATACCTACTGCTGCAGGTCTCTGACCATCTTCTTGCATTACATCAGGGGTAACTGATCAGAGGTTGAGATATGCTGAGAACCCAGACAGACTCTCAAAATCCCTCCCAGCACTATTTCCTTCCTCTGCTATGGCTTTAACGAAGACAGGCATTATCCTTCACTCCCTGTTTTCGGATTTTGTGAAAAGCACTAGCTTCAGTGACTGCCCATGATGAGTAGTTAGGAGCAGATGTAAATTCACAGCCCAGCCCATCCTTTTGCACTATTTCTGCAGGCACACTAGGCTAAGGGCACATGAACCACTGTGATCAGGCACATCTGGTCCCATGTGCTCCAGCTGAGCTCCTCTCTCAATAACAAATTTAATAATATTTTGATATTATGACAATCTGCAAACAGCCCTCAAAAAAGAAGCAAGCATATTTCAGAATGTTAGTGGCATTTCAGAACAGTAAGCTAGTGGGGTCAGTTATTTTGGATGTGTTGGGATGGATCAAAAAATTCTTCACAATATCATTAGTCATTCATAAATGGTGATAAAACAACCACATCTCCTATGCAAGAAAAAAAAGACAGTATAGTCACTACAATTCTTCAGATTTCTCAACCTATGTTTACTTTTTTGCTTATCTTGCAGGTTTCAGTTGTGCTTGCTTTGCTTTTGATTAAAGAAAAAGTAAACAGCATCCTGATTCTGCCCTTGTTTAAAATTAAATAAGGTATTCTCCATGGATTTAAAAGATATTACAAGTCCATATAAAACAAATCTATATGAGCAGAATAAGACATCTCTTCTATTTGCACTTTAAGAAAATAACATAAATATATCACAGTATCAAAGAAAGACTTTTATTATGATCATTTGTGACAAAAAGAACATTTGACAATGCAGGTATGCTGCTAACACCTGCGTAAATTATTTAAGGAATTATGAAATTTAAAGAACAGAAATATTATTATTATTATTATTATTATTATTATTATTATTATTATTATTGACGTATTCTGTTGTTCCATGTTTTCTGAATTCTTAGGAAGGTCCAGCAATATACTCTAGTGGAAGGTGTCCCTGCTCATATTAGGGAGGCTAGAACTAGGTGATCTTCAAGCTCTCTTCCAACCCAACCCATTCTATGATACCGATTTTTATATGGTTTGTCACTTTCTCTCAGACATCGCCTTTGCAGAGTCCCTATTCAAGGGTATTGAATATAGTGAATATGTGTCTGAAATGAGTATTAAAGAAACCAAGCCAAAAATTCTCTGAGACTTGTCTTATGGGATTGCAGTAAATATCAGATACTTAAAGAGATGTGATATGATTTAATGTATCAGAAGGTTGCTTGTGTGATGATGTCAATGTTCATTGTATTACAAATCTGCTATAAATAACACACACACAAAAAAGTGAAGGGTGTTTTTTTAATAACAGAAAATTAGTACACTTAGACTTCACTTCTGCAAACATTTGCATTCAAGCACCGTCACCCTGTGATGCATTTAATAATTCCAAAATCAGATAACTGATTTATCTTCACATTAAAAATATGAAAATACAATATAAACATATTAAAAAATTTGGCAACAAAGTCTGTGTAATATAAAGGATGCCTAAACAGTGTGTTTTTGGATTACAGGCTCATTTTAAAAATCTTGTATGTTCCTTTGTAACACTTGATATTTCCTGAAGAGAAAATAGAATAAGAAACAGTATTTCAGAATGCACAGCAGGTTCTCTTCTTAGTTTCATTTAGAGACACAACGTCTAAGTCATGTAATAGACAGGATTTCTGAAAAACAAAGAAAAGCAAACATTTGATTAAGATAACTAGGACACAATAGTTGAAAATTTTGCTTTTACACATACTTTAATGTAAAATAATTGGTGCAGTCACTGGATATGTTTTTCCTTTGAATATTTAATTAACATGACTGAAGTTTTCTAATAAATTGGATGGAAACTGATGCCCACGCAAGTCCCATCAGGCATCTCTACATTCTTTAGCTGCCTTGAACATCTCTCCTAAATCTGAAGGTGACAGAAAGTGTCTTTCGAGGAGTCACTTCAAACCATACGTGCCAAGCCTGTAAATCTTTACTTCCACACGTACAGGTTCTTCTGTTGACTACACCAATTTTGGCTGATTTTCAGTTAAGTACCCTTATCTTTGAAGTACTGAGCATGGGTTGAAAAACTTCAGTTGAAAGGAACAGGAAATACAGACTATCAGAACTTACTAAAAAAAGGCACAGGACATTAACTGTTAGAGAAGATGTTAACTTGTTTTGTGAAATTCACTAAAATTCTGTTTTCTTGCCTGGTTATTTATAACCAGGAATACCCCCAAATGGAAACATTTCAGTCTTAATCATGATAAACTATCAAAATAGCACTCCACCCTTGTAAAACATTTATGTACTGATTGCAAAAGCAGATTATAACAAAAATGAAAATCATCAAAACCAGGACTCTTCCTTTCAGCAATGAACTCAACTAGATAATTAATGTTGACCAGAGAAACAATCAAACCCAGTTGTGCAATGCAGAACATGTTGCAATTTTGTTCTCTGAAACTATGAACACTGAACTCTGAACTAGGGCACAAAGACACAGAGAATATTGTCATATGCCCAGGAAAATGAAAGCCCCAACTTCTCTACCTGCAACCCTGTTGCCTGTGTCTTGGCAGGTTTATCAACTAAGCACAGAGAAGTAAGTGCAACCACTGGATTCACCACATTCCTCTCTCAACCTGAACCCAACAGCCATAAACAACCATGTCTGACAATAAAGAGAAGCTTCCAGAGACAGTAGCTGTCTAAGCTGGAATTAATGGAATCCAAAGCACAGGAAAAAAAGAGAGGAAGAAGGGAAAAAAAAGGCATAATGTAGTACAACACTAATCATGATTCAAAATTGAAAACTTACAAAGTCACAGGGTAGTTGAACATTCACTACATCCAGGAAGATTCACCTAAAATTCACCTCGGCTGAATCAGAACAAGGGCAAAATCTAAAGTCTCCCCGTGCTACAAATAAGCTTTATACCTCTATGGCTGAGAATGTTCATCACTACTTAAAATTCTGGAGGAAAAGCATGGAATTTGTTTCCCTTTTCCTTCTGTAGCCATAGTTCCAGCTCTTCCAGAATGCTGGCTGCCCTGTGCCAGAGCTGTCCCCACAAAGAGAGTGGCTGAGCTCATTCCTCCCTGAGGCTGCAGGGACCCAGGGAGGCTTTCACAGTGCACGGTGCTGGGGGGAGAAGATGAGACATCTGGGAAGGGATCAAAAGTGATGGATAGAGGAAGGAGCAAGAGGGCAGGAAATGTATTGTAGCGTCTAAAGCCTAGGATAGATGCTGAAGCTGTCATCAGTAAAATTATTAGCAAAAACTGTCTGACTAGGATATCTAAAGACTGTGGCTTACTGATTTTAGAGATTTCTTGTCATAATAAATTCTTGTCATAATGAATTCTCCGCATAATGAAGAAATACAGCAGGCAAACTTTTACCTGTTTTTGTTGTTGTTTTGGTTTTGTTTGTTTGCTTTTGTTTTTTAATTTATTTTTTGAATGGTAAGAACCAAGAGACATAACATTTTTATTACCCTTGAGAATTGCCACAAATACCAACACACAGCTTTATAGCTTCTGATTAGTTTTAACTTTTTACACAGTTGTGGGAGGTACAGGCATTAGCTATTTACGATTTCTTCTAAGCAGAAACAGTATTTGGTAGTCTGCAAGCATAGATAGTAAATTAAAAGTATGAAAACCTTTTTAAAAAAGGGTACAAGGCTGAATCAAAAGTATACAAACATAACCTTGTCATCTCAAGGAACAAGATACCACTAGTTTAGAGATAAGATTCTGAAGGGAAAAGCTTTGAAAGGTAATGGTACAGTAAGAAATTTAATTTCACTCAATTGAGACCATGAAATAACATTGACTGTTGTGAACATCAACTAAATATGCTTTGTTTCATCTGTGCTTTTTCTTGAGAACAATCTGTTTAAATAGTAGGAGAGTTCTAGAAAATCCCTGTTTTGGGAGTTTCAGAATTCAAGTTTCACTTACTTAGAGGAAACAGGTAATTTGAAGATGTTGCAGATTATACTTCAAGACCAAACTTCATGCTTTCAGTCAAAGGGGAGAAACTTACATTTCCTTAAACACTTAGGATACTTACTTGCATCCTTAGTATTTTACTACTTAACAGTACTTTTAGATGCTAAGTAAGCTGTTCATATATCCTTAGCAAGTACCCTCAATACTGTTAAGTGATTAAGAATGGTGAAACATATTTGATAATGCAACAGTTCTTATAATCTCTAAAATGATTATTTGATTGTTCATCTAAAAACTAGCCGGGACAGGCAGACAAGAAGCACCACTCCACAAATAAAGAGCGCCCATTTTAAAATCCATTTAAAAGCTGAGGTCTATTCATCCCTTCAGTTTGTAAGACTGTTCCATATAGGGTCTTTGTGAAGCAAATACGTGTCTGGGATCTGTTTAAGCAAATGTGCTGCACACACATTTAAAAAGTGCACATTCATAATCTTAAGAGATACAAATCCTGCATAAAGCGCTGGGGCAACGATCAGATTTGGGCAATCCCACGTAGTGCTCAGCCTCAGCCAAGTCTTGGAAGAGGTGGGGCATCCTCCTCTCCTGAAATTACAGCAGGGAGGTATGCAAATCTCTCCCACCTGCGAGAACAAGGCGGGCAACATTCCTCCTCCAGGGTTCCATGAACACTAACACTTCCAGCTCACATTTCTGCTCAGATTGTTGTACTCACTGCCCCACAAGTCAGCCAACAAACAGCAAAGAACTGTGAAAAGGTAAGAAGAACCAAAATGGTACCAAGAAGCTGGAGTTTCCATTTCAGTATCTTGGGCAGTGGTGTTTTGAAAATACCGCCACAGACAGATGCCACTGCACCCTTCAGCGATTTCAGTAAGATGTTGAAACTTCCCGCTATCAAATACTAGTTTTTCCTGTTTAATAGCTCAGCAGACGTCTCACCTAACTGGCAGGCATCTCTGCAAGCCAGTTTTACACTTCCTGCTTAAAACTCCCCTTCTGGCTGTCTCTCCTGCCCACTTCTAAGCAGAATTTGTATCACTGGCATGCAATAGATACCTAGACACAGGAATTATGATGAGATGGCTCAGTTACCGATTTTTAAAAAAAAATTTAATCAAGGCAAGAAAGCTAGGGTGGTATAAGAAGGAAAATGTAATTAAAAAACCCCAACAATCTCTTTCAAAGGTTTCTAATGGAGTAAATATATAAATCTTCGTTAAGCTCAGCTGCCCATTCCTTGCTGAAAACCTACTCAGATTAATGGTGGATCCACCTTCTCTAGCACCAGTTTTTGGTATTTTGAAACTAGTTTAGTTATTTTGAAGGTGGGATTCACTGTGGGTTTAAAAGAATGACAGGATTTTGCTTTATCCATATCATGTCCCCAGTCAAAGTCAGACCTGGAGGGCTTGCTGAAAAATTAGAAGCTTTGTAGAAACAAACTGAAGAGACTGTAACTGAGGTTACTATTATTTATAACTTTTTTAAATTTTGAGGATTTTTACTCTAATTGAAAAATGATCCTACTTAATTACTGCAATCATTTTGTTTATATTTAACAATGATAGTTGACAAAGACTGGCAGAGAACTTCAGGCAACAAAGTCCCATGTGACTTCAGTGCCTGAACTGCCATTAGAGAGATCTCAGTTATTAATAGTCCCAACACTTTTTATGTATTTCCCCTATATTCTGTAATTCAAATTATCTGTTCAAAATGCAAGAGAGTAGTCTCACAACCACAATGGGTTGGACATGGCACAAGCATGACTATTAGCAGGGATATATTAGCAGGGAAGGCGATCACTGTTGGCACAGGTACAGGAGCAGGAGAGGAGGGTGTGAGGTCTGGCACAGCAGGATCTAACAGCTGCTGACTACATTCCTCAAGGAAGGTTGATGAAGGTCTTACTCCCAAAGCGTGCTATTCCACCATGTCTAAAACATTTAACCTACTGGCAAAGTGTGGGGCTCTAACTCCCTCTCCTGTTACACCATGCAGACTGTAACAATGTTGTACTGAAATTAGTAATTCACAAACTTGAGAAGACAGCTGTGGATCTCCAGTAAAGTTCCTCAACCCTACAGATCATCTAGGTGAGGTTTAATATAGTTGAATCATAAATACTGTATTTAACAGAGCAATGTATCTTCAAAGTCAATATCCTGCAGAAGCAGCAAAGGCCAGAAGTAAGCCAAGTCTGTAACTTTTGCTCTCCTGGAGTTTAATTTATTTAATTTGAATCATATGAAACCATATAGGCCGAGATATGGAAGCCGCCATAATCAATGGAGGGAGAAGGGCACCTCCAAAACACAATTTTATCCTAAAGACTCATCTCTTTCCACTGAATAGAGATGATTCCAGACAACCAGACCAGTCATGCAAAGTTTAGCTGGCTAGGATTGCCTGCTAAGATGAATCTCATCCCCTATACACAGATACTGTGATTAAGTTTTGATTTACATGACCTAATTATATGCTACTGTTTCCAGAAGAATATTTGGCTCATTCAGTGTCCAGGACTGACTTTTTTTTTTAATTAAATAAGATAGCGTAGTTAAATTTTGCCTTATATTGCACCAGCACTGTGTTGCTACCATTTATCCTCTTTGCTTTAATCTCTGTACCTCAGTTCCCACATGTGGCATGCTGAATGTATCTAATGTTACTAAGAAAGTTGAGATAAAAATCTGAAATGGATCTAAAGTACAGCAGTACAAGCATTATGAAAAACCTCTCGAAGGAATTATTATTCTGTGGTCAGTACAAGATAAATAAAGGGCAAATAAAGCCTGGGGCTCCATGCATGACTAAGGATAATAAAGAAACACTGAGTATGCACTGCTGGAGACAGGGATCTTTTAGACAAACTAACAATTCCATGAACCTCAGCAATAATGAAATCCGATTTCCTATGGATTTGGATCTTGAAGTGAATTAAATTTGATATCTGTGATGCAAGCTCCAGCTGGAGTAGCTGGTTGAAGCATTTTTCAGTCTCTCTGTGTAGTGGTCTCTACTATTCTATGAACTAATGCTGGAGACTTTCCTTAGAGTACTCTGCCTCTCACCTTATTTTCAAGGAACTACTCAGGAACTGATAATTTAGTTCAATCTGTCAAATTTCTTTAAAATCAGCTAACAAGTTCCAAAGGTACTTTAAGAGCAAAGGAATAGATAACACAGTATAATCCCAACAATCTTGTTGCCATAGGAAAGAAATGTAAAGAAATGAAGGAAGGGTAAAACTGAGGCCTGCTACTTCTGAATGTTAATCTCAAATGACATCCAGCTGTTAAACATTAAATGTTATTCTCAAAAGCACAGGGCAAGGTCTTAAATGGATTTTCACTGTTCTTTACTCAGCAGATATATGTTTATTTAATATGATTAAAATAATCTTAGTAGTCAATCACTCTTGGGAGGTAGGCAGAATATAAGTTTTGGTTAGTTTACTGTAGTTTTCAGAAAAAGGTGGTAACTTCATTCTTCTTTTCCTTTTTTAAAATAGAGTTCTCTCCTAATCCTAGTTTAGAAAAATACCAACAATCACACCCAAAAGGACATATACAAAGGCTTGTAATATTTTTTGAAAACCTACTTGAGAACACTACTGCTTACCAGGCATGAAACCAAAGAACACAAAAGAGAAAATGTTAACTGCATTCTGGGTGGTATTTTTTTGGTTTTGGTTGTTTTTAGAGGACTGACTCACAAGTTCACTGGCAACCAGAAGCATTGTCAAAGAACAGCTGTCATCTATTAACGAACAGGTTTAGGCATATCTGAGATCCATGAGAATTATGAATAAATAAAATACTGTTATTTTTCAACATGTCTAAGCAAACTCCTGGAATATTCTATGCCATTAACATTTATTTCCACTGCAGCCTTTCAAATACAATCAAATCAGTAACTATTGCTCTTCTCCAAGAGCTCAGCAGTCAGAGGAAGTTAAAACTCAAGTACTGCATTCAGTTATTATTAACTGACTGGTTTGACAATTGCGAATTCTCGGAAATGTGGCATGACTCCTTTGCTGTCACCAATGTAAGCTGTCAAAAAAACATCTGATGGTTTTAATGAGACTGTAAATCAGAGCTGCAGGACTGAGACCCAGCATAGAATGGCTGAGATGGAAAGTATCTGAAAGGTCAAGCAGCACTTTAGTTATCCAGATCACGGGGATACAGAAGTCTTCTCTCTCCCTTAAGCCCACTAGAAGACAAACTGCAACAGAAGAGATGGGAAAACGCCAAACAAAATAGTGACAATACACTGAAACACTTGCCCTTTTTTGTTTTGTGTTGTTTAAATGTCTTTAACATGAAACTTTTTAGTATGTTTTTTTTCCCCAATCCACCACTGAACCACAAGTTGTTCCAAATTTTGAAAGAATCAAGAAGCTTAGCACTTCTGTATGAACTCTGTAACTCTGGACATCAATCTTCCCCATCTACAGGAGTGTTTTGAGTAAATTAAATTACTAAGGACATGTCCACAATAGATGGCAAGCAAGAATGTACATAAAAAGTCCTAGATTTCCTCAGATTATTACAGTCTACAGAAATGCATCTGAGATTGGTCTACTGCCTGCCAGCTTGCCCTGCTTATTTATCTTACCTCTGAACAAGCTTCATGCACTTCCCAAAAGCATGGTCATAATAGACTGTTCTAGGGAATTCCTTTCTTCTGTGGGACTGGGAAAGCAATACGTGCTTCCACTGAAGCATCTCATCAGTCTGGAACAGACAGTCCATTGCAGAGGGCAGGAGAGGCCTGATATCCCCAGGCATAGGTGTCTTGGGCCAACACACTGTGCAAAGCTGTATCTCCTTTCTAAAATCAGCAAATATGTATTTCACCACTACCAAATGGATGTATGACTGAAATTATCTCAGACTGGCATCTATCATGTCAATTTTCACAGCTACTAGTCACACTTGCTACTGCATTTTCCATTCTCCAAAATTTCATCAGTTAGAGGAAGTTAAAATTCAAGTACTACATTCAGATTTCACAGTTTTGTGAACAGGCAAATTATTTTGTCGAACCTGAAAACCATGATGAAACTGTATGGTAGATCTTTTCTTTTTTTGTCCATCAAACTCTTTCTTATCAGGCCAATGGTAAAACCAGTTGGGCTAAAAGGGTTCTTGCTTAAATCAAAAAATGCATTCTACTAAAAATGGCAAAGTTATACACCAAAGTAATGGTACATGATGCCTCATCACGATTCCAAATATTTTTAGCTAAGGTGAAACATTACTACAGACAAATATGACAAATTCTCATGGGCACATTTTCCAAACACACATACATGCAGAGCATACAACTGTTCAAAATAGTTCTAATTAAAACCAAGCAGTAGTATAACATGTTCAACGTGGTCTGAATTTTTTTGCCATGTCCACACTACAAACCATGAATTTCAATTAAGGTGAGCAGGAATACTGAAGTTTCACTTATATAAAATAAGTGTAGGCAATCTTAATGTGAAAGGTACTCAAACATCATTTCTGCAGGTGTAGAGAATTCTCTTAGATATCACCCAAATACACTCTGCAGAAATGCTCACTTTGCACATATTTGTCTTTGCAGCAGTTATGATCATAGCTATTGTAGTTTTCATGTTTCATACTAACAATATATTCTCTATTTACAGTAGACAATGTCTTTTTCATTTACAACAAAATCAGAGTTATCTTGAGACTTTTTTCCAGTAAGCTCAGTAATTCTAGGACCTGCCATTATCCTACTGTTCTAAACAATATTTGACTGTTCAGTTGCTGAACTTCACTTTCATGTTAAAGTAACCAAAAGATTTTTTTGCATTTTTTTTTCTCCTTCAAAATAACCAACTACAGCTTGTGTTGCTATGTAGTATGACAGGACCCCGATTTAAAAGCAGTTCAACCCTGAGCTATTATTCTGACCATCCTCTATGGCTACCTAATCAAAACACTGCTACTTGTGACTTTGTCAGTAATTTTGCTCATTTATCTTTATTATGACTTTAAGAGTATTCGGAGTGGAAGGTTAGTTTTGTATAACTAATATTGGTGATGAATGGCAGTGATAATACATTGCATGAAGAACATCTATTAATGTCTAAAATAATATTCTACTGCCTAAAAATAAATTGCAATGCAAAACATTTTCAGAGCTAATGAACAATAATTCAGTCCTACAAAAAAATTGCAACTCTGAGGAATAAGGACCTTTATGCCAACACACTCAAGTTAGAGATGCTGACTCTGACAGCTACAATATTGATTCTACCACTAATTAACTCAAATCTTTAGGCCCTGATAACTTCAAAAGCACTAGTGTAAATCAGCTAAACAAACAGCTATGAACCTTGGATAAAACATTTGATTGCTGAACATAAAAGCTCCACTAATTCCATCATCATGCAGCATCTTCACTGTGTGCATACTCTGCAGAAACCTAGAGGAAAAAGGAATCTTCCTAGCACAGAAGTGGAGCTACTCTGGAGCTGTTAACCACTCTCTTAAAGAAAAGTATGGGAAATAAAGCCACAAACACAGACTTCCTGAATTTTCACTTTCTCTCTGAAATGTACTGTACCTGCTCACCTCTTCTGTTTTTCACTTCTCCCATGATTTTTCTTTCTCATATTCCTCCTCTGTATGCCTGCAGCTACAGGATTACCCCCAAATACTAACTTCCATAATGCAAAACAGCATCGTCTGTGCTTTGCTTATAGTATTCTGTAGTTACAACCTTATTCACCCAATCTGTCAAGAAAAATCTCCCATTTTCTTTCTCCTTAGAAAAGAAGCCTACCTTTTCCAGGATTTCCTTAATCAAGACTGAAAATGCGTGCTCAATGTTCACATTTTCTTTAGCACTTGTCTCAAAAAATGGCATTCCATATTCCCAAGCAAGCTGAAAAACAAATGTAGGTAATGGGATGAACATTCTTCAGGAAAAAAACCAGTTCCTAATTCCAGCATCAAGCAATATGGAGATGTTCTCACTGGTAACATGCTACAAAAACACTAATTAAGTACATGACTGCTCAGTAATGTACTGTATTTTCATCCTCAGTTTATAAATTTCAGGTACTTCTTAAAACATTCTTCTTAAATCTTTTATGTTTTCAAAACAGGTTTTTTAACCAATCCTTATTTGTAAATAACAAGAATAAACTCCAGTGGGTCTATTCTCAGTGTTTTGATTTATTTGGAAAACTGTCTCCTAAGCAATTATCTAGAGGAAACTCATGGAGTGCCTGCAGATAAAAACATGACAAAACTGTTGAAAAAAGTGGCATGATGAAATATAAAAAAGAGATGTTCCTTTATGCTAGATAGAGAGAAGCACAGAGATAGCAGGCAACCAAAGAAAACATATGCATGGAAAAAGATATTATGGTAAAAGGCAAAGAGAGAAAACACTTAGAAGGGCAGCATAGACTTTACGTTATTGGTTTTATTTAATTTACTCCTGTTGTCTTATTTCCAGTGTATTTCTGTTACAGATAGCTTAGAATTTTGTTGGCATGAAGAAGAGAACCCCAACACAATACATATACAATAATCAGACTTCAAAGTTTTAATCAAAATATAATAAAGATTACACTAAAGGTAAAAGAAAAAGTAAGCAAAATGGTTTCCTTTCCAAAACGCTACAAGAAAATGTAATTCTGAAAATTAAGATGAGATCTAACTGATTCATAGACAGCAACTATTTCATAGCTTCATAAGGAATTCTGAAACTCAGTGTGAGCTGCTGTGAACTGTTTTTGGTACTGCAGCAACTTGTTACAGAAAGTTAAGATCATTCAACTATTGCCAGTACAAAAAAAAAAGATGCATAAGGGTTCATAAAGAAAAATACAAGCAATAAAAGAATATTGGACTAATAAACTAGAGAGAACTGGTTTGCTGTTTATAAAGAATACAGAAACTACTATTAAATAGCCCTTTTCCTTTGTATTATGTAACAGGTTCCTAGAGATTACCTATGTACAAATTTTGATGAATACAAACCAAGCCTTTCAATTGTGGAATCGCAGAAATAATTTTGAAAGACAACCCCACTTAAATGAGCCTACTGCCCATGCAATATTGGGTCAGCTGTGTCTTTGCCTACAAGTCTTGAAATCCACCAGTGATGGAGATTCCATAGCCTTTATGGGACTCTCTTTCATGGCTACATCAACCTTCTAGTGCAACTGGTTCTCCTCAACTCCAACTTGAACCTCTCAAACCAGGACTTCTGTCTGCTACCATGCTATATATTGTCTGTCTCTACTCAGGAGAGCCTATTTCTGTCATTCCTTTAGAGCCACTTCAGTTGCTGTAGACCAGTAACTGCTCCTTAGCCTGCTCTTTATCCAGCTCCTTCTCCTCATGGAAAACCAGTACTAGACCCCAATCACCTTTAAACCTGTCTGCTGCACCAGCTGCAGTTTCTCAATACCCTTATTGAAATGGGAGAGCCAAAGCTGGACACAATATTCCACGTGGCCTTGCCAGGACAAGAAAGCGGGGTAATAATCTCCCAAGATCTACCATCCATTACCCTCCTAAGGTAGCCCAGCACCTTTAAAGCCATGAGGGAACACTGCTGACTTAGATTCAAGCTGGTGCTCATTGTAACTCATCAATCTTCTGGTGCAGGGCAGTGACTCATGCCTTGGATTATTCCATCACAGGTGCAAATCTTTGCACTTCATGAACTCCATGATGTTTCTGCTGGCCCAGTTCCCAAGTTTATCAAGGTCCCACAGAATTGGTGTTCTCCTATGTGGTGTGCCAGTCATACCCCTTAATCTCAATGTCATATACAAATGTCCTTCTATCATCAGCCAGATGACCAACAAAGATGACGAACAATGTCACTGAGGCAAGGCTGCCTGCCTATAGTTCCCTGAACCTTCTTCCTTGCCTTTTTTAAAAGATATACAGCATGCTGGCATCTTTCTAGTCAAAAGGGATCTCTCCCAACCACCAGTATTTTTCAGAGTTGACTGACAGTGGCTCAAATGACAATGACCAGCTCTTTCAGCACAATTGGACAAACTTCATCATGTCTATGGGCACATCCAACTTTTTCAAGCAATTTCTAATCCAAAGCTTTCCTGCTGCTGGCTAACCTGCTCCTTCCCAAACTATGCCAGTACCTGCAGAGGCCTGGGAGCAAGCTCTATTTGTGAAGATGAAAGAAAAGACAAATCAAATCAAACAAAAAAACCTTGAGTACTTCTCTTTTCTGTTACTACATTGCCTACTACATCTATCAGTGCACCCTCATTTTCTTTGTATGGGCACAATATTGGTCAAAGAAGATTAATGTATTTTTTTTTCACTTTACCCTGCATACTTCTAAATTCTGTGGCAAGTCCTCTAAAAATGTAGCTCAGTCGAAAAACCCCCACTGGCTCAGTGGTAAAGCAGTTGAAAGCATGAACACGTATTTGGCTACTCCTTCTCCTAAAGACAATAGTATGGTGTATTCAAAGAACTACTTTATTTTTTTCTTTGGGAGTATCTCGAATAGATAAAAAAATAAATTACCTAAATACATTAACAAACCTGTAGAAATTATTGTAGTGAGAAAATATTACAGTGTACTGTATTTTATAATATCCTTGATAACAGTTTGAAGAACTTGTGTGAAATAAGCTTGTATCTTACCGACAACAATAAAACAAGTAATGCTAATACTACTTCCTACCAAAGTGTTGGTACGATTTCTTAGTGCTGAATCATAGAGGTATGTCTGAAACATAACAAAACTGTGCAGAATTCCATTACATGTGAAAAATCAGCTTTGAAACTATAAATCAGCTTCAGATATGAAGACAGCAAAAGCAAAAAAAAAAAAAAGATTTTACTTGGCTTTTTCTGTTAGAAGGATTTGATAGGAGAAAAACAGCCACATTCTACCAAGTCATATAACCTTCAACATTTTTATCTTTCAATGAAACAGATAATGATATTGGAGGGTGAACAGAGGAGCCCAAGAAGGTTGAGTTAAAACTTTTATCAAAGTGAATAAGAAACAATTAATACAAGAAAATTATACTTCATAGGGCTAAAATTAAATCTCTCAATTTTTGAGTGATCACAATTACATAAGTTTGTACAAAAATAATTATTACATTATTCTGTACAGAAAGAAACAACAAAAAAAATTCTCAGAATTAAATTGAAATGAAAACATATACAACAGCCACTCAGTTATAACAGATTTTTACAGAAATGCCAGTATAGACGATATTCCCAGGGAATCTGGAGTTCTTCTGTGCAAGAGACTGAACATAAAAACACTTAAAGCTCATACTATTAGGATAATATGAAATATTATTATTTGTCAAAGTTAGAATCAAACTGTTTTCCCCTCTTAATAAGGATATTTTCTTCTTTAGAGTGAGAAAACAATTACTGCTTCTCTCTCTCTGCTAAAAGGATCTTTCTCCAGCACATTCAGTTAGATCCTTTAGGACTTACTAAAAGAAGAAATAGTGTAACAGAAGAGTTGCCTTGCCTCAAAACACAGGGGAAATCTAGAAGGCAGACTCACTGGGAGGAGGTAATGATTTGCTTTTTAGAAGAAATAGTACATTAAGATGAATTTTGGTTGCATGGTTAAGAACCCAGAAGTCAGAAAATGTCATGGTTAATACCCTAAGCCAAACCCTACTACTGCCCTCTGGTGCACATGCACCCAGTGACTCTCTAGGCTTCTGACAGTGCATCCTTTGTGAGACTACAACATGTATTTTTCAGCAACCTTATTCCTTGTATACAGATATGGCACATTAACACTGAAAGCATGTGAACTATGAACTCTGAGGAGAGTAATGTTGTCCAAAAGGTGATGTTATTTTTTTTAAAGTTCTCTAATCTGAGATTATATAATTGGCAAGAAGCTATCACTGTGTTTTTCTTTGAGCATGAGACATCCTGCTTGACTCACCATGCCTGAAAGCATTAACAGGAGGGCTAATTCCAAGTTCCAGAGAACTGATGCATACCGTTTGCAGTAGCAAAATTTACTGGTATATCGGACACACTCTCCTTCAAGACTTAAATTATTATCCTGATTTCTTCTGTCATAGCATGGCTTCTGAGTTCCCTCACTGGCTCTCACTGAGAGACATTTGCCATTCCCTTTAGAATAGCAGTCCCCACTTAGTAAGTTCTTCCCCCACCCACGGTCAGCAGCTAGAAACTCTACTGTAGTCTCAACTATACATCACATATACAGTTTTGGGGAGCTGCATGTTCAGTATCTGTCCAGTCTTATTTAAGGCTATTCAAAGACAATGCAGATCACTTTGCACAGGCTATCAGAATAGTTCTTTAGTCAGACTGTAGCAAAAATATCACTGATGGGTGGTATCAGAAATGTTGTGCAGAATTTTAATATTCCACATTACAAGAGTACTTTGAAAATGCAGTCTATATAAGATTTCTGTTGTGGCACCTAAAATTTTTAAAGTTCATTTTAACCTTTAAAAGTAAAATCAGTATTTTAAAGAGATCAGCTAGGAATTAATTAATGTATTTCTAACACTCCAGAACTCCACAACTGTTCTTCTAGAGCAGTTCTTCTAGTCCTAAAAAAATGTTTGGAATTCAGGAGCTTTTTACCATTTTCACTTAAACAGCTCAGTCATGTACAAAGAAACTCAGGAGGACCCAAAGAAAGTACCAAAGATACCTTTTCTCCTTTCTGTTTTGGAACTACCCGTTCTGACTCCTTATCACACTTGTTGCCCAACAGTATTACGTCCACTTCATCACCTGCTTTCTAAAAGAGAACCAGCATTAATAAGTGTCAAGTAAGAAAAAAGCAAACAACAAAAGCTCTTCACCTTCAGCTCACACTAACCTTCAGCACTCCATCTCCTTGAAAGTAAAGGCTAAATTCTGTCATGACCTTCATATGTGCAAATATTTCCCACCAGTTACTGGGATTTGGAGGAAAACAGCAAGAATGCAAAGAGCAGAAAAAAACTACTTAGAAGTGCCACGTATAATTTCCAACCCCTTTTGTAAGATATAAAGTATATGGTGCATGGGCACCATCTTCTGATGAATGCTCCATCTTGAGGCTTTAAAGTGACTGGAAATGCCCTGAATTCACAAGACACTGCTCTCCTAAAAGTAATAGATTCATAGATTAGCATATGACTCTGGTCTACATCCAGCACTCACAAGTAAAAGGGAAGGAATTTGCTGCACCTGAAAGAGCACCTCTCTGTGCTTCACTTTTGCACACAGACAATAAAATTACTTTCAAAGTGTTCAAACTCAACATAAAAGTCTGATTATTCCAAGACACTAGGAAGAAGGCAATAGATTTTTAATGAAGTAAAATTTAAAAACCTCATTGATTTCAGAAGGAAGAAAAATTTACCTTTTTGACCTTGTCTCCTTCTCTGTTCCTCTAATCCACTCACATGCATGATGACTGTGAAATGCACTGGGTTTTATACGTCAGTGTTATTTTAAGATAAGTCATTGTAACTCTACATGACTGGAATAATGACAAAGAAAGGGAATAGTTCTGCAACAGCATGTGAATTTGAAAACTGACATTCGGTGTGAAAATCATAATAGTTAAAACCACCTTTGGTGCTTAAATGGAGGACAACACTGAGGGTCTCAATCTACAAACAATTGAAGCTAATGTAGTCTGATGCCATGGCTTTTATTGTGGAGGTACATGCTCTCACAGCTCTCCTGATGACTCAAAAAGCTTGGTCTCAGGCTGCAGGTCTCTCTACAGAGACTTTGATGAAATCTCTGTCTGTGTAAAATCTGTAACTTTTGTACCTTTGCCATAAGACAAAATCCATCACAACCATACAGAGAAAAACCTCTATTCATTAAAGGATGAGAGAACACTATTTTTAGTCTATTTCTACTTTTACAACAATTTAAAGAATTGTTCATCAGTAGGTACAGTTTAATATTAAGGAACACTATTTCTGTTTTTTAAAATCCATTCTCCTCTTAGAGTAATCTAGACTTATTTCATACCCACAGTTTCTTAAAATGAAGTAAACTTCATAAGAATATGAAGTACAGGCCTAAAATAATGAATTAATCTAACCTGGATCAATAGACCAAAATGCTGGCTGTTTAAGAATGCACTGAAGCTTCACTCATTAAGATCAGTGGCTCTCCTACATAAAATCAGATACATCAGTCCCAAAATAGGGTAAATAGACAATTATATAATCAACTTTTAATTCAGAAGAAGACTGAAAGTTGATGAAGGTTTTATGAGTGACATTTACCTTTACTCTGCAGTTAAAGGTTAGAGGAAAATAATTGCATACTGAATGCACAAACCCACTGAATTAACTCTGTAACTTAATTTCTGTATAAACAGCACAAATTTTTGCAGTAGGAATGTTCTTTCTAAACAGCTTCAAAAAATAACAAAATTTAAACCAGGTTTGACGTACCAGGTCTTTCAGCAAGTATTTATTAGTACTACCAATCACGAAAAATTTACTTCTGCAAATAACTACTATTTCTACATCAATATAATGTATTAATGTATTTTCACTTTGTCTGGATCCTCCACCAAAGTATATAAATATAATATAAAAAAATATTATAAATATAAAAAATATACAAGTAGATAGATATAAACAGATAACAATAAAATATAAAACATAAATAAAATTAATTTAAAATTTCATTAATTTCATCAAGGAAAAAAGAATTTTTTTCCAGATAAAGTTTTGCCCTGGTATCTTAAAAATGTGAATTTTTGGTTCACTCTCTCAGTTTTTCTTTGGGCTTTAACATTTCATTTTTTACATTTTACTGAAGGTTAAAGTAAATATAATCTGAACCTGGAGAATACCTATGCTATTTTATTTTGAAAAGGAAAACATCATCATTGTATTTCTCTGAAGAAACTGGAGCCAAGAGATTTACTGAGACTGACCAAGTTTTCTCAAGTGTTTGGCACAGCTTGGAGCCACCCGGTTTTGGCAGAAGGGATTTTCTTCCACTGAGTTCCCAGGCAGCTGGATGTGGCAGGAGCCAGGCTGCTCTGAGCAGTGGCCACAGGAGGGAGCAGCAGCAGAGCTCGGTGGTGCCACATTCTGGACTCTGAACACTGGACACATGATAGTAGCACAGTCTCTGTAGCACACTACTGATAGGGGCCACCCACCCATGCCCACTGCTTAATGTCCACCCAGCCAGGGAGATACACCACCTGTGAGGATATTAACAGAAATCGAAAATGCAAAAGTGCAAATATCTGGCTCATCTCTTTTGTATGTAATTTGTTTGGGTGGGGTTTTTTCAAATGTTAGGTCTTTTTTATACTAGCTTTTATTTTCCAGAAGTCCTGTGAATTTATGTGAGTGTGAAAAGTAGCAGATACCTTTTCTGTAAGAAAACTACACCATATTTGTACCTACAGGTTATTGGAAGAAACTATCCCTTCACCTTCTTAAATGGTGAACACAGACCTACCAAGAATGATCCCAATCTCCCTTACAGCAAACCGACCATGGTGATTCATGAGTTCACCTAGACTCCTCGTACAAAGCTATCTATCCAGGGATACATCTTCCAGAAAACCACCTTCTCCACACCTCCAGGGTGTAGCTGTGAAGGGTTGTGTTACATTGATACTCATTAACTACAGTTTGAAAAGGCAACAGAAGTTCATTAGTAGGTCCAAACAGTAAAACTGAGCCCATACCTGCTGGATACTCTATGAGATTCTTAAATAGTCTGTATTTGAGAAAGAAATGTAGCATTAATATAGTTTTTCCACATTTGAAGATGTACATGGTCAAACATCAAGATGAAGGCAGAGCTGGAGAAGGCCAGAAGTTTCTTCTTTTTATTCATTAGACAGTGACAGTAGAAACCTATCCTTTGTAATACTGAAGAACAATTTGTTAGAAACAGACCTCAGGGTCTCTTTGAAACTATCACATGGGCAGCGTTTACATTAGGATTGCCAAGCATGTCTCTTTCCACATATTTTTCTAAGTGCACTATATGACCTCAGTTACAAATGCTTGGTTTCCAGGACTTCAGTGGAAATAAATGAATGATAAAATTTATTTGTCTACTAGCAAATTTAGAATGCAGTACATATAAACCAATTTATCCCAAAACCAACCTAGGACTACAGACAAACCAATTTAATAAAATGACAAGAACAAGAATTTTAAGTTCTAATCAGAGCCATAGTGACAAACCTATCTATGAATTGGAACAATTCTATCTTTTGACATCAAGCTTTCCCATCTGAGGAAGAAAAATCTAGAAGAGTTTCAAGTAAAACTAATCTACATTTGCAAAGCATTTTGCTGTGCTGCTTTTATTTAAGTCTGATGCAGAAATAGTAAAAGACAGTCTAGTCTCCCAAACGCACCAGAGGAACCAAACCAAAAATAGGCACTATGCAGAAATGGCAGCAACTCAACAATTCATACAGTTTATATCCTGGTTGAGGGGTCACTTCTTCAGGTAGGACAAATAGAAGGTTAATGTAAAAACACTAAACTACTGTCACCAAGACTTGCACAAGAACAGAAAATTATCTTCTCCATGCAGAAAATTCTGTGATGGCAGACAATTTCCAGCACAGAGATAATTGTTAGGAGCTGGTATTACCACTTTCATGGCCACACCAGGAGACTAGCACAATTAAAACCAGTCCAAGGTATTCAGAAGTAAATTAAGACCTACCATCTACATCAATAATTTTTGGAGACCCAGACACCATGTATGAATAATGAATGGAGTGATTTAGCTTGGCAAGGACTTCTGGAAGTCAGTGGGTTTAGTCCCCTGCTCAAAGATGGGCCAACTTCAAAATCAGGTCAGGTTGCTCAAGGCCCTGTTGAATGGAGTTTTAAGTGCCTCCTTTAAGTGATCCTCTCTGGGCACCTATTTGAGCATTTGAACCACTCTATTATTATGAACCTTTTGCCAATGTTAGTTGGAATCTTGTTCAAATCATCCCGGAAAAAACCTGTTTTCTGCAAATGGATTTGGTACACAGCTGCTTGTATTTATTTAATTTTCAAAGGCCAAATGGCATCAGCCTTTCAAAACAGATGCATACAGTAGCTAAAAGCCATGTCAGCTGGAGGAACACCATAATAAATTTGACATAACTGGCAATCCTACAAATAAAAAATGGTTTCAGGTTCTAAAGTTATCTTCCTGCAATTATCATGCTCCTAATGAATGCATTTCAAATCCAATATCCCTGTATTGGACTTGCCAATGATGTCCTAAGATACTAATCTGTGAGTGAGTATATTTTTCTAGTAAGCTTTTAAAAAGTACAGCCATGTTACTTAGTTTCCTCTAGTTCTGAATTCAAATTTTACAGCAATACAGATATGGCAGCATATTGTGTCTTGTACTTCCTTGGACAATAATTCATTTTTAATAGTGAAGCTGCTGCATTCCACACTTAAACTAACTGAAATATAATGAGAACATTACTGGTAATCTGATTGTAATTGCACTGACTGGCCAGTTTTTATAAAATCAATGTGAGTTTTTAAGAATGCTAAATTGCTTGGATTGTTATTTTCAACTGCTGCAAAAATGGCTTAGCACACTGAACAGATTTTTAAAAAACTTTCTGGTTAAAATCCTTATGTGCAAAGAACCAAAAATGAGAGCATAATGTAATAACTGAATTGCCTCAAAAAATCTTATTTGTTAAGGTTAAGGTGCAAAATTTACACCTATTAGTCTGGTATTTAGTGAAGCCTGTATTCTCTCTGTTTCCCTTTTTAAAACTTACTTATTTTTTCTGTGCTTGCATATTTTAAATGGCGCTGTAGCAACAGTCACTTTGATTCTGGGCGTTTGTAGGGAATTAAATACTGGTTTGCATTCACAGACCAAAGCAAATGCAAGGAATGTCACCGACCTCCAGGAAGTAATTAATTTTCATGAAATGCCCTGTGTTTTAACAGTTATTGCTTAAAAACATTTCTTTTGCAATGAACGGCCCCATATATTTTCACCAAGACACTTCAGAAATTGATATCCCACTAGGACTAAATTAAATTTTTTATTACTATCTAGCTCTATTACAACACTAATTGCTAGTTTTGAGATTGGTACAATCAATCATGCAATTTACATTCCTAGAAATTGTTTTAGATTGAGTATTTTTCCATTTTTTAAACTTTAAACTAACGAAAGTACCTTCAGGGGTTAAGATTACACGGTCTAAGTATTAATACCTTGAGTATATTGACACAAAAGCCTTCAAAATGTCACCAACGGAGAGCAGGCTTGTGCAGAGGTCATTTTCTGATTGACTAAAGAAGATCTAACCTGTATGGTGGCCACAAGAACTAGTGCCATCCTTCCCTCCACCCTAGCCATAGAGCCCTGATACCTTCTTGCTGTTTGTGGCTGTGCACTGTAGCCCACTGAATCAATCACCCTGTTGACCTAACTGAAGATGACAGGATGAAATGACCCCTTTGGAGCCAGCGTGAAACAAGAGCAATATTTTATGTTGATAGATAGATAGATAGATAGATAGATAGACAGACAGATATGGATATACGCAGATAATCTACATTTTCAGTTTCAGGTAACAGTAAACCTGCTATCATACTGTTTACTGAGCTAAATCTTTGTTAATCATGAAACTGTACAACCAGTGGCATATCTAGCTGTGACTTTTGTTTGGCCAACAGAAGAAAGGCACATGCTTTTCTTAACAAAATAATAAAACAGATGTGTTAGTTTACAGTGTGTGCAGACAAGCCAGTAAGAATATTGTGTCATCGAATCTCTTTTGTAACACATTACTGAAATTAAGCTCTATTGCCACTGACTTTTAAGACGCCTCTAAGGTCAAGAACAATGATGTACTAGGTCACCAGAGTAATGTTTTTTAAAAAATGAGATAATGAGAATGTAATGTTTTCCTAAGGATATAAGATATCCCACGTTTATATTACTGGATATATGATCATGTGTGATATTATTGGATATATGATCATTAATTCAGCTGTATACTGAAGCTGTGAAGAGAGAAAATAATGCATTTAATGGTTTTATTTCAAGCCCACTTTCCCAAGATGAACTCTCCCATCCATCCCCACCAAATCACAAGAGTATTTAAAAACCTGCCTGAAACTTTACTTGATTTTGATCAATGGAGAGCACTACCTTGCTTGTATTTTACACTAACTTTCACAAGCATACTAACTAAAAACTGCTACTGCTGAGGGGCAGCATCACTGCTCCCTAAAGCCTCCTCAGGAGGGAAAGCAGAGAGAATGATACTGATCTATTTTTCCCTGGTATCAAGAGACAGGACACACGGGAATGGCTCAAAATTGTGCCAGGGATATTCAGACCGGACATTGGGAAGCATTTCTCTACTGAGCTGGTAGTCAAACACTGGATCAGGCTTCCTAGGGAGACAGTCAATTCCCCAAGTCAAATTAAGAGGCATCTGGACAACGCTCTTAGTAACATAATTTAACTTTGCATCAGCGCTTAAGTGGTTGGGCAGCTGGACTAGGTGATCGCTGAAGGTCCCTTACAGCTGAACTATTCTATTCTAAAACTGCTTTGCCTCTATCTAATAGAGAACACATCAAGAAAGACCTACCAAAAAAGACTTGGAATGCAGGGTTACGGTCAGCTGAATGATCTTGTGTCTAAGGGCTTGCCCACCCCTCCCTTGCTTCACATTGTTTCCTGCTATTTTTCTTATGGCCTTCCTACTCATACCTGTTTACCTTCCTCCAGCTCCAGTAAGTGTCAGACCTTTCCATAAGCCTCTCAAACTCACAGATAGAGCAGAAAAACTGGCAGAAAAACTACTCAACTTCTTTTGCTGTGTAAGTTTTCTACCACATTAGGAAGTCAGAGTGAAGCACAGAGGACTCTGACAAGCTCCAGTGGGAACACATACCCCATCTGGCAGCCATGTGCTGTTGAATCACTTCCTATGTCACATGAAGGAACGTATTTCTGGCTGCAGCACCACGAGCAGCTGAGCTAACCAAACAGCTTCCCACCCCACTTCCTCCCTCTTGAAACCATCCTCTCAAGGAAAATCCAGCAAGGACAAAGAAGATATTTAATTCCTTTGATCTTGAGATGAGGTAACTACACTGAAGTAATGAAATTAGGAAAGGGAAATCACTGGTTGTGCTACAGAATTTTGATATGGAATCTAATTAAAATCCCAGGATGAGCTCATGCAGACTCATCTATGCATAGCCACACCAGTGACAAGAGCACCATAACTGAGCATGCACAAAGAGGGATTGGAAGCTATATTTTAGAAGTACTTCAGAAAACATTCCTCCATCATCATGGGCTTGTCTAAATATAAACCATATTCCAGTTTCAGATGACAGTAATTCTACTACCATACTGTATGCTGAGTTAAAGGCAAGAAATTCTGTTTAGAAACATCTAGGAACAAGAATACATCTCATGCAGTCATTTAAAATAACACATTAATTACCTTCATTAAGTGATCAACCACTGACAGATATATTTACCTCGTATATGTCGTTCATCCAGACTGTTATACTTTGGAAACTCTTCAGATTTGTGACGTCATATACAAGAACAAAGCCTTGTGCACCACGGAAATAGCTGGTACTAAGTGTATGGAACCGTTCCTGGCCAGCAGTATCCCTGAAGGAAATTATAACAAATCACACACACAAACAAACAAAAAAGAGATGATCAGACTGCAGAATCCCCAAGAAAGATTACTTTAAGGAGTATTGTCCAAATTTGAAATTATGTACTCTAACACAAAAGGAACAAGAAAAAACACAGACGGGAGAAAATCTGGGTGCCAGATATAGCAATAAAAGAAATACACTGGAAATTTATTCTTAATTATACAGCCCTACTAGGGAAGCCAAGCCAGTGGCTGAAATCTGAGAATAATGTCAAGCCCACCATTCCTTCTTTATATAAATAACTCAGGTGATAAAAAAAATCAGATGTCAGATGACATCCCCATATTCTGACAACCCCTTTGTAAAGTGTGATACAACCAGCAGCCACCTAGTTTAGACGGAAGACAGGTTTTGGGAAAAAGCCATAAAATAACACGGACAGAGCGATTCTTAGAAGTAATGATAAACTTTGAGGAAACAAACAACTCTGTCCTGGGAAGCATCAGGCACAGCATCACAGCTGGGCAAGGGAGGGGACTGTCCCACTCTGCTTTGCATTGGAGTAGCCTCACCTCGAGCACTGGGGGCAGTTTTGGGCGCCACAATATAAAAAAGGCATTAAGCTATTAGAGAGCATACAAAGAAGAGCCATGAGAATAGTGGAAGCCATACAATGAGTGGCTGAGGTCACTTGGTTTGTTCAGCCTGAAGGAGACTGAAGGGAGATCTCATTGCAGTCTACAACTTCTTCACAAGGGAAAGCAGAGGGGCAGACACTGATCTCTTCACTCTCATGACCAGTGACAGGGCTTGAGGGCATGGCCTGAAGCTGAGTCAGGGGCAGGTAGGCTGGCTATCAGGAAAAGGTTCTTCATCCACAGGGTGGTTGGGCACTGGAACAGGCTCCTAAGGAAAGTGGTCACAGCATTGAGCCTGACAGGGTTCAGGAAGTGTTTGTACAATGCTCTCAGGCCCATGGCATGATTCTTGGTGTCCTGTGCAAGGCCAGAAGTCAGACTCAATGATCCTGATGGGTCCCTTCCAACTCAGCATATTCTATGAGTTATGCCTTAAGAAAGCTATAAACAACCCTCCAGTATTTTTGCATTATTGCCTGAGATGGAATAACTGCAGATCCATTACCAGTCAGATAATTCATATACAGATTTACTCCTTGACAAGTTAAATACTGGTAAATAGAGATAATCTTCAGTACTAGATGCCTGGAGAGCCAGGTGTCAGAAGCCCTACATAATCTTTAGAAAAACTTCCAAACCAAAAAATAGTGTTCATTCCCAAAGATTCATCTTATCAAAAGTCATTTCTCTTGATGACCCTTTTGAAGAAACATTTGATGGGTAATGAAATGTAACACCTTGCTTTGTCACTTTTCTCAATGTTCCTATACAATTAAATATATTTCATACGGATCATAGATCTGCACTTGTTTGTATGCTGCAAGTTTTATTGCTAACACAACCCAGTGACAACCCTCTTTTTAATTTACATTTGTTGCTGCAAAACATATACTCTCCTATGCTAAATTCAAATTCTAAAATTATCTAGTAGGAGCACCTGCACATTATGAAGACACACAATTAAAAGTAGAGGAGATTTTTTCATGTCCTAATGCAATTTAGTTGGCTTTCTGTTGTGATACTAATTAAAACTTACCATATTTGAAGTTTCACTCTTGTGTCATTAAACATAACTGGCTTTACTTTAAAATCAATGCCTAGAAGAGAAAAAAAAAAAGGAAAATCTCATAATAACATGGATTCCTTTTGAAGATTGCTTCTCAGCTCTAGTTACCACGCAATTTCAAACAGAAAGTGAAAAGGAACAATACCATAAACAGAATAACTAGCCAACCATATAAATTTAAAATGGAAGCTGTAAAAGGAAATTATTCACTGCTCAGTGTCAATATATTGCACAAATACAATACAAAGCAATGCCAATACCAAGCAAAGAAGGGACAGGTCAAAGCAAAGGTGAAGATACTCTGAAACTAGAAGTATTACCATGGATTGGCAAGGGATGTGACAGCAGTTTCCTGGCCTATGCATAACAGTACATTGTGCAAATACAGTGGTGATTTTCAAGAGCATGGCAGCCATGAATGGGAAGGTACAAATGCTTACAAAGCTGTCACTTGTGCAACAAAATTTTTCTGTCCTTACTTCTAAATGCCTAAAAAAAATATCTAGGGTTACACAAGCTGAAATAGGAATTGGCTGTATCCATTAAATGCAAAGACAAACATACATGGGATTTAATTCAAAATGAAGAGGACTGACTCTACAGCCTAAATCATATCCAGAAAGCCAATGCTAAAAGCAAGTATTAACACTTAAAATCAATGCAGAATGTTGTCTCTACATACAATACAGATCCTTCCTCAAAGATATTTTCCTTATGATTTATAGTGTTTTCCTTTATTAAACTGTCAAATTAGTACTCCAGATGTGTTAGATGATATCTAGATTTATGAGCTGTTGAAGTTCCAGTTCTAAAATTAGAATCTGCCAGCTATCAGCTGCTATCTTAGAGTGACATATTTTTGCAGAGTAAAGCATTGTCCCCCCTATCACTTCATTGCTCAAGTTTGAAATACCATTTGATAATTTCCATGATTGCTTTTTTCCCCCACTGAAAAACAATCAGGCTCTTTTGGTCTATTATAGTAAATGAAATTAAGGTAACATTTGCCCATACTGTATGAGCAAAATTCCCGAAGATCAAACTATAGCTACTTAAAATGACAGTGTCTTTTCACCAGTAGTTATGTCATTTGAAAGAACCAGACAGACTGAAAAATCACAAAGATTTTAAATTAATACCACTGTACTGATATCCGTAAAATGTGCAAGCCAATTACTTTATAAAAGGAAAGCACCCCTGGCAGCAAACCAAAAATGCAGAGGAAATGTTCCCTTCCTTTGTACTGACAGATGTATTGTGCACAAAATATTGACAAGTACACTCACATGCATGCACTCACATCCACTTCCAATGCTATTAATATTTTTTTTGTGTGTATGTGGTAAGGGAGTTGAGGTGGATTTTAAAAATTATTATGATAATCATGTCCTTCACTTGATGAATTTTCATTGAAGCTTCAATGAAAAGGAAAGATGAAATAATATAATTGGTATCTGTAATTAATATTACACAAAGCTTCCTTGATGGAATTAATAATGTCAGGAGAAAATGTAATTTAAGAAAATTTGCTCATGTAAGGTTAAATTCCAATGTGATGGAAAACATTTGCTCCAGAAATTCACATGGCTTTGTTTAATTATCTGTACGATTTTCTACAATTGATATTGGAGCAGTGTAGAGGGACAGAGTATACACTGGGAGGCTGGAACATCACTTACAAATGTGCATTGGGAACACAGAAAAAAATTATTTTCCAGACTAGGATTCCCAGAACTATAGGGAAAAGTTCTTAGTTGATATACATTTTAATAATAAATTGCTATAAGCTTTCTTTAAAAAAAAATCATTTGTAAAAAGGGAAGCAGAGTGCTGAATCAGACTAAAACTTAATCTAAATTAAAATCAGGCATATTGACTTCTTAAGTCAACTTCAAAATTTATTGACCTAAAAGGTCAATGAATGTTAGTGAAAAACAGAAGTCAATATGTTCTGCATGCATGAATTGTTCATGTCTTTATATGAAATTTCCAGCAAACTTAGCAAATTGGAAAGACAGAAAAGAAAAATGAGATACACAATGCCAAAGACAGCTCACAGATTTCAGATGCTTTTAGGCCTACCTGGTATACAACATGATCAACATAACAAAGCAAGCATTGATTACAGCTCTTGAGATAAATGTTATTGGAATGCAACACCATGTACTTGCTTCTTTAAAGCTGTCAAATAAAACCAAGAAGGGGGATGCTGGGTCCAAGTTCAAATTTTGGTTGTTATTTCCAACTTTAATAGCCATGAAAATTTATTTTCTTTATATTTAAAATAGTAAATAATGTCCATATTAGAACTGAGGCACCTTAAGGACAATTAAGTCTAAAAAGCATAAAAATAGTAAGCCACAGGGTAATTCAGCTGTGAAATGCCTCTCTTTTCCCTCCCTCTGGCTATCTGCAGAAGTCCTCTTCAAAAAGAGGTCTTTTGCAGCAGGTCTGGAATATTACAGCATAGTTTTCACCCAAACAGTGCTGATGGGTTCCTGATAGATAATGCTCAAAAACATATGTCTATCCAGAGAAAATGCAAGTTTGAGTAGCTTAGCAGGACACAACACTGAAAGCGTGTTCATGCTCTACCCAGCCCACTGCCTGTCATACAGCATCTTCAAGTCCAGAAACAGGGAAGCAGTTCCCAGCAGTTCCCAGCAGTTCCTGTGCCCAAACTGGGCAGGTGCCCAGTGAGATGTGGTGGGTTGAGTTTCCACTTAGTCCTAACCCATACTTAACCCCTCCTAATGCTGGTGCGTTACTTGCATCAGATTCTTTTCTGAACATGTCAAGAAATGTCTGAAGCAGAGAGATATCTGAGCAGTCACAAGTTCTGATAATTCCTGGTTTGCTGAGAAAAGCAACTCACTGGATAAGATGGTTTTTTTGGAAAACAAGACTGACAAAAAAATCCAGTTTTGTTAAAAAAAAATAAGACGTGGATTGCTACTGGTGTTCTTAACACAGGGCACACTTACCTTCAACGTGGTTCATTTTATTACCTTATTCCCTTCTGAAGTAAGTATCAGGGAATCTACATAGACTTTTTAATCCTAATGTTGAAGTTGTACCACTTTCAACTATGACAGATTTGGGAGGACTCACAGCTCTGAAGAAATGTTTCTCACAGAAAAGACATGTGCTGAAGGGCCACAGCAACCATAGTACAGTAAAATAACTTCACAGCCTGTGAGATCACAATGCTACTCATTGGTATACAGGGAGGGTTTTCTGTTCATAAACCTTCTCTATGACTTTATACGTAATACCATTGTTTAAACAAAAACATTTATTCTTTATAATCTATTCATAATACAATGCATCCACCTTATGATGCATATAAGTTTAATTAGAAAACTATAACTGCTTATAATTTATCCAAACTATGTAATTGAAGAGGAGGAAGGGCACCCAGCCTTGAGTGTTTAAGTGCTTCATTAAAAGTTTTAAATGAAAATTTACTGTGGATGTTATTTTTGCATTTTCTCATAAAATACATAATTTTATGAAAGTTCACTACTACTGGAGCCTACTACAAAAAGTTTGTCTGTTTTTTTTCCCCCCACAAAAACACTAGGATTTCTCCTAGTAACAAAAAATCTGTGATTCATGACATAGAAATGAGACTTTTAACAACCTTTCAACTTCTGTGCCTATGATCCTCTCTCACCAAGGAAGGTGATGGCACATGATTTTGTCAGGGAACTCAGGAAGTTGCAAGACTGCACAGTCGGGATAATTTTCCCTCTACTCAAATCACCGTTTCAATTAGATAGTTAAGGTGAAAAATCACCTGACAGCAGATCAACATTTAATAGGCTGCACAACAGAAAGGGGTCATTTGACTGAGATGGTATGAAACAGACATCCAGATAAAAACATTTATTTGTTCTGATGGTATCAACAGTGAGGAAGAAGACATCACAAACTGAGAAAACACTAGGTGTCTTCTTCCTTTAAATCACTAGGAGCCACAACCTCTAGGGCATCCTCTCCATTGCTGCTGTCCCCGTGAAGGAGGAACCTTCACTTCCAACATTACTCTTTTGGAAGACACCACTTATAATCCCATTTGTTTTCAAAGTCCAACCTCTAAAAGACCTGATAAACTGGAATTAAATGGAACACAGTATTTCACAAATGACTTTAAAAACACATACAGCTAACAAATACCATGTTTGGATTGTTCACTTATATTTCAGATAAGCATTTCTTTAAAAAATTTTTAAATATCTCAGTAATAGGTGTCACTAATGAAACTTAAGAGATTAATCTTAGTCCATAAACTGTCACAAAAACTATGGTCTTCACTATTCCTTGAAATAGTTCAAGTCACAACTTGGGAAATATAAGTTTTCTGAGTCTGCAGTGGACTGAATCAGGAGTAAAAGAAATTGTGTCTCAAAATAATAATCTCATGGTCAGGAATCTCAATGTAAAGCACATCAACAAGTTATTATTTATTTTTATAGTCATTCTTTGGGCTGTCTTGCTAAGCCTAACAACTTGCCTATTATTAGGATCAATTTCCTGACTTTACTGTTCATCATGTTCTTCCCTCTTCATTCGTGCTGGTTTCAGAAAATGCTTTGTAAGAAAGGGCAAGAAAATAAAAAGTAGTTAGAGTTCTGCCATTCTTATGTGGGCAGGTCAAGTCATCTTGTATACATTAAGTATTCTCTGGACCAACTACTGCCACAGCTACTGTGGTATTTCATTCCGTTATGCCAACTTCTCCCAGACTGAAAGATG